GGCATTTTAATAAAAACTAAAGGTGACATAGACACTTTATTATGGTATAGTATTTAAATATATGCCTGAGAAACACATAATATTGCCCCTTTAACATCTTTGCTTTCATTGGATTTAAAACATACTGATTCAAATCCAAACCCAGAGCAGTCCATTGGAGTTTGACAGAGGGGTTTATGGCCATCTAGCAGCGCAGAAACTTTTTTTGAACACAACATCTTTTAGGACACTAGTTTTGGTTTTTTTCTGGTCTTGGTCTTGACTTGGCCTTGCCCTCCCTTAGTTTTGGTCTCAACTTGGTCCAGGCCCTAAAAGTCTTGGTCTTGGTCTCGGGTAGGTGGTCTTGACTACAACACTAGCTCATGGGATATTTTGCTAACAGACAAAGTTGACTCCAWCAATTATTRCACCTTTTAATGGRGGGCAATAATGCAGTCACRGTCACAGGACGGAAAAACTTCAATGCGGAACAACGCAGATACAGTACTTCAGTTCCTCTTTTGCTCTTGCTTGGATTGTTAGACAATAATATACGGTATTTATGTGTGTATTTATGTGTGTACTTACTGTATAATACAAGGTACGGGGATAAACTTCCTCCACTTGGCTGAAACGCTTGGCCTCTGGATGATTTTTGCCTGCTGGGAACATTTAGAAAATCAAATGCAAAGCATCGCAGTCTTGTCATTTTATCATCAGTATTGATAAATTCACGTCCTTTCTGCACACCAATTACACACACACCCACGCCAGGAAACTCACTTAACCAAATGTATCCTTATAACACATCCTATTATAGCTCTCTACATGTTGTGCTGTAAAAATGCAATCAGCAGCTGGACAAAGTCAGCCATGTCAGAACAAAGGTGTTTTTGTGAGCMGTGCCTCACGTTTAATTAATTCACAACAGAAGCTGTGATGTTAAGCTTGCTGGGACATGTACAAGGCCCTGATGGAGCTGTGTGGAAACTTAACTTTTTTACCAGCGGGATTAAAAAACACAAACACACACAAACAGGCACCCATCCTGCACTGTTCCACAGCAACCACAAACACAAGCATCTGAGACTTTAAAACCAAAAGACTCCAGCTAAAAACAAAAAAACAAAAATACTTTTAAAATAATTTTTAAATAATTCTTCAATGTTTCTTGTTTCGTCTTTGTTTTTTCCTTTCTCAAAACAAGAACAATCTTTAGGTGGTCAGAATTCACAGCGAGTCCCTGTCAGGATGACTCTCTCTGTTCGACTCATCATCTTCATCAGTAAATCCAGCTGGTTTTTCAGATTACAGCAAAGTGCTGAGTCACAAAAAAACACTGACGATCACATTTAACTCAGAACTTTTATTTTTCCTGATGTGAAGGAAAACGAGAGAACATGTGCAGGGACCTCGGTATAGTTAAGCTACTTAAAGGGCACGGATGACAGACGCCGTGATGATTCCTCATTCCCAGTTATTTGCAGGTAAACCAGTGACATCATCAAGTCGGTAAGGACAGAACATTCATTTAAACCTGATTCCAACATAACGGGCCACCACAATGAGGCAAATCTGAGCCTGTCACAACAATYAGAAATACTGCACTTATTTCCATCCTTGACTTGGCAGGGGTTCAAAACAAATCACTGTGTAACCTGGTGGTGCATTCCTCTCAGCTAAAGTCCGATTAATAAATGATGGACTGTGTCATTGGAGGGGAAAATGGCCACATTAGAAAATAAACCCTACAATATCTCGGGGGGATGTATAGCGCCCGCCACCTTTCAGATGAGAGTTTTTTAATTTAAAATCATCTTTTCATGATTAGAAACAAATTCATAGCCATTTTTAGCCAGATCTTTTAKTGATGTAATATGTAATCTSTCAGCTACTACCAGACCAAATTTTAGCTCCAAATATATAAGTTTGATCAAATGATAGCCATTCTGTGTTAGCAAAGGTTAATTAGCTGCYGTGGCCGCCTTGAAMTGTGARGGCTCTAAAAGGTYATCAGTTGTAGAGTTTRATTAAAACCCATTCAGAGGTTCAAGAGATATTTTGCAAACAGACATACTAGGGTTGGGCAATATTGGCAAAAAWATTAATCACGATTAATTGTGGTATTTAGCCGATGARGATTAATCCCCTGGAGTCCCTGGACCACTGCATGCCCTAGTCAAATGACCATTTTAGTGGGAAAGATTTGCTCTTCGTAAAAATCGGTTCCAAATTGTGTCAAAATTACAGACTTCAGGCTTTACATCAACTTTTAAATTGTGTTGATAATGTGAATTAATTACAGAACTTTTTCTTTTTAACGTTTGTGATATTTGAAGCGGAGAGGAGCACCGAGTGGACTGATGGTGGCATTAATCGTATTAATCGTCAAGTGCCAAAAAGTAATCGATTAATGTTTTTCTGACGATTAATTGCAGACGATACGATTTTGCCCAACCCTAAGACATACACAGTTGAACACTATGGTTACAGGCAAAGTTTCAAAACACAGGTCCTGCACCATCAGATAACTTTTGGGTACCACCATTGCCAATTTTKGCTCAACATCTGCAACACTGACTTAGTTCAGACATCATTTTGTATTGTCAGTTGGCTGTGGCGGCCATCTTGAATGACGTAAGCACTTAAAGATAATTCATTTAACTAACACCATATATCAGATGATTTCCTTTACGAGAGCACCATTCAAATCCAKCCAAATGGTTCATGAGATATTTTGCTGCAAATAAACAGCATGTACAGACACAAACCAAAGCATTATCGCTCTAAAGAGCCTACCTGAGTTTCACTGCGAATCACAGGTTGCTTCTTTGCTCCTACATTTAGGTAGCTGTATGAGAAGACAGCAGGGATGATTAAAATGAAAAAAAAAAAAAAGGCTTGACATCTACAGTATTTTTTTTTCAAATAACACAATCATTTATGCCATTAACTGTAGACTATCACAATAAGTCATGAGACAAGCTTGGAAGTCACCTGACACAACACCTTTTTAGATAAAATCCCCRCTGGCTAAAGGTTTTGTACTGGCAGAACAAAACCCATTTCTCCCACTGTTCTCTCACTTCTTAATAACTTTTCCTTCTCTTGCACTGCAACCAGGACACATTCCCAAATACAGATCCCTGTCCATTTGGTGGAATAAGTTTGACTGTGATAGTTAGCCCAATAAATGTGACCCGTCACATCGAAGTGAGGATTAAGTCCAAAAGCGGAATGTATAAAAATAGGCACATTTATGGTTTTGATTTAAACGTGTGCAAAAATTGCATTTTGTCAAAACATAATGAATTAATGCCTTATCAATGTAAGATTTGAATGAAGTGTCTGAAATATGTTCATAAAAAACATTTTTGAAGCATTTCTTTTAGCAGTAACAACAAAAAAACCTGATTTTGAGGAAAAATGTGAGCTAACAATGTTTTCATTTCTTTCCAACTGGGAAATCTTAATATACAAATACTATTTGAGGTTTCCTCTTTATATTAACATCAAAAATTACTCAATAAATTTACATAAAATTAGGATTCAGACCAAACAGTAATGTATTATCATAACCAACAAGACCAATAAAATCTCTGGATCCACTTATGATATCAGGAGGATCCAGGTATCAAAATGTAGCTTTTAAAGCAGGAATCTGAAAATGTAGTTTGGCCATTTTGAACAAATTTGACTCAATCCTCATTTCGATATGATAACTCACAAATGGTACTCACTCCAGTTTCTTGAACCTCTCAAAGCCAGCAGCGACATACTGAGCTCCTGTCTTCAGGTCCTGCAGGTCTGTGACCTTGTGGCCCTGCCTGGGGGTGTACAGGGTCCTGACGGCGAGCGGAGCCCCGATGTTCCTGGTCACTTCGTTCAGAAATGCCTCCATGGTTGCCACCTGACGCTGGTTCACCACAAACCTCCGCCCGCTGTAGAAGGGGTCTCCATTCCTGTACACCACCACGCTCTTCACCGGTGGTAGGTGACATGTAGCTGCGGTGCTGGCGGCCATCTCGGGGCATATTAAAAAAATAAACTATAAGTCCTCACACACTGAACTGTACCACATTGTTTCTACAGAGACACATCTTTACGATCAACACAGCCTTACAAACATAAACACAGCTCAGTCACTCATAAACTCACCGGAGGATGAGGAGCCAGAGGTGAAAATCAGTCCCGTCTGCTGTTGCGTTGTCTAGGTTCTGCTGTGCCTCCCCTCACACGGACACTACTACTTTGACGGCGGTGAGTATTTCCTGGTTGCTATGGCAGCAGGGCCAGCAATGACTGGCTCTGTGAGCCAAACCATCGGCAGAAAACACAACAAAAGAGACTGACAGAGGAGAGGAGGGGGGGAGGGATGGGTGGGTCTCTGTGCTGTAAGCTGAATCAATAAGATAACCCCTGTTTTCTGTTTTCAAAAATGATCTAAAATAAGTTACGCACATTAAAGTGACTAGACAGAGCTTTCACCCAAACCCGCGTCAAGTTCTTCTACTTATACAGTTTTATTAGCGACATAAAAATGTGATTTATGTAGCTCTTTCGACCTTTAAAAGCTTCTCTCCGAGGCTGTGCAACTACAAAAACAAGTGTAATCAGAGACCATCATGTGAGTGTTTGTGAGGATCCTTGAGCAATGTGTGATAGCTCCTTCTTTGTGATGCTGGCAGGAAATCTGAGCCTCTGAGACACAACAGAAAATGTGTTTAAAACCAAACATCAAGTCTAACATCGACTGAATGAACCACTTTTCTGTCATTTGTACTTTAAAGAAYATAAATCTGTAAAAACACTAAAACAGACACTGCACAGGCATCTTTGAAGGTAAATTAAATTTATTCATTTTCATATTTAAAATCACGCAGAAATTTTACAAATGCACACTTTTATATATTACATGATACTTGAAAATAAATATTTATTAGATGAACTGGTCTGTAGAGATGTCACTTGTGTGAGTTCAACCGAAAGAAGAAAGTTTCACATTAATCCAGCTTACGTCTGTCTTCAGGACACACTCAGTCTATTCCTCAGTGTTAAGTACTGTAGAGGAGAAGAAAGACACCAGTGATCCTGTTTCACAGCAGTTTACTGACACTGAAGGTGTTTATGAGTATCTTCTTACAGTTATGTACAAAATCTGATGCAACTTTTTGCTTTTCATGCAAGACCTTTTAAACTAAAGTTATGTAATGGTGAGAAGTAGGTTGGTGTTACACCTGTTTTAGTCAAACTTTGTAGATCATGTACCATTTTACATAATACTGTGAGATCTCACAAGATACAATAGTGCTCAGAGTATGAGTTGGGGATGACTTTCAGCTACGACCACARCAAATTTTAGCTCAATATCTGTACAATTGACTGATTTAAATCCATTTCAGTGTTGGCTGAGGTTGATTTTGCTGGGGTGGTAATCTTGAATGGGGTTGACTCAGTAAGTTAATCATTTGTAAGATTACTTTCAAGTAGGAATGACTGATATGAAAATTTCAGCCAATATCGATATCTGATAAAATTATTGCTGTTATAGCCGATAACTGATATTTACCGATATTACACAAACACACAAATTATATTAAACATACACGCACAAACACACTTGTGTCTTTTTTTTTGATACAGTAAATAAACAACCAGACCTCTGACATGACTCCCTACTTCAGTTATTCCTGGCTGAGCAGCATCAATACCACTATCATGATCAAACAAATGCCGCTCAACCAACCGTCTCCCCTCCCCAAACAGAAACACGAAGCTAAAAAGTGGGAAATCAATATGTAGGGCTGCCACGATTAGTCGACTAGTCACAATTACTGTCGACAAAATCGTTGACGCATTGTTTTTTTTTTCTAACTTTGTTTTTCTCTTTAAACTGCTGC